GGGGGGGGGGGGGGCGGAGAACAGAAAGAGAATGCAAAGAAAAGTCCAACCTTAAACCACCACTACCTTTCACAGGCAGACTCAAAACGTCCTAAGATTGCGGTATGACCGCCACGGGACCAAAAGTGCCTGGCGGCGCCAGCCAAAACTTAAAAAAACAAAAAAGCCGCGCTCGCTTCGGTAAAGCTTGGCGAGCAGTTCTTTTCCGCCTCGGCAAAAGAGGCTCAGAGGTAAGGGGCCTGTTTAACAAAACGGAAAGAGGCAAAGAAACAAGAAAAGAAAAGAAAAGAAAAGAAAAGAAAAGAAAAGGGGGATTAGAAAAAGTAAAGAAGAGGGGAGAAAAGTAACCAAAAAGTAATCCAGATTACCTTCAACTTCGAATCTTCCGTCTCTTCAATACAACATCGCCTGCAATCCGCCTCCAGCTCTGCTCAGAAAAGCAAGAAAGGTCACGGGGGCAAAGCGAGGGAGGATGGGGGAAACAAGATTAATATGCTGTTGAGATTGAGTGATGGACTCTAACATGCTGGTGAGAGATGAATGCAACGACGATACAAGAATTCACACCCACTTCACTTTGTTTGCATCATCATCACACATTTCCTCACACACAATAGGCAAGATCCTCACAATACGAGAACACTTCGACGCTTGGAGCTCCAGCGGCCGTGGCCGCCGTCAACAACCACCAAGTACTTCTTCTCTCTCTCTCTCTCTCTCTCCTGTCTCTTATACACATCTAGATGTGTATAAGAGACAGGGGGAAGCGTTGAGTGTCTTAGAGTGCCATTCTGTGTGCTTGAGCAGGTATTGCCCACATGTCCAAGGTGTTGTAGCCTATTACGCGTCTGTGCGGTTGAGACGGCAGATCCACGGCAATCCCGACACATGCTGAACACCGATAAAAACAGTAGTATTCAATAACAAGGGAATTTAGTAATTTACCACTTTCGTCGGCGAACAACCGATAAACTCTCTTGGAACATGGCAAAACCTCAGTCAGTCAAACACTACAAAGTTTGACTTACTTTCCGCTCTGCAAACACACAAATCAATGTACCCTACCTCTCAGAATCCTGTGGCTGGAAACAAGACATCCCATAACGATTCAACGCCACGCTGATAGACTGTACGGTCTGCTGTTTAGGTGAGGAGGGGCAGTGTGGCTCTTGCTCTTGACAACAGTGGAGTGAACACAATGGAACATGGCTCTTCTTGATATTTGGCCAAAAAGGGCGGTGATCCAAGCGCTTTGTGTTCCGATCGTATTTCATGTTCCCTCTTCCCAGACAGAGCACTCACTCTTCGCTGACTGCACCCTTCAGTCTCTCGTTCAAATAGTGCTCAATGTGTTCCGTTTTCCAATTATCAATTCTGCATCAGAGTGCACACACACACACACACACACACACACACACACAACAAAACACAGAGAGACCGTTAAAGGACAAGTCTGCAAACTGAGCTCAATTGCATTTCAATTTTCGATAGAAGAAAAGCATGAAGGGCCAAGCGGCATAGCTCAGTTGGTAGAGCGCGAGAGTGGCATTCAGGAGGTCATGGGTTCGATTCCCGCAGTCTTCATTCGAGCCCCCACGGCCTCCTGCAGCTCACTGCCGGTTCACCAGCTGAGTTAGTCGGTTCAGCCCCCCTGGTACGGTTTGGTAGGGGGTCAGATCCCCTCCCATCCATTGCCCGGGGTTAGGACTCGGGAGAAAGCTGTGGTGCTTAGAGACGGGTGGAGGTTGGCGCCAACCCAACCCATAACACTTAGAAGCCCCAGCTGCTGTGCATACATATACTACAATCGACCGCAAAGCTAGCGACTGGATTTAGGACTTAGGAACGACAGGTACAGTGAGGCATATGAGTAAAGAATATAGCTTTTTTTTACAATTAAAAAAAGAACAAAAAAAGAAAAGCATGAATGTGACATCTGCTAGAGGGGTCTTCCATGCTTCCCAATTGGGCAAAGCTTGACAAACCAACAAAAAACCCACCAATTACCCACAGCAAACCCGGAAAGAGGCCCCGAGTCTTCTCCCGAGTTTCTCTTTCACTTCCTCAATATAATATTCTTCCATTGTGTCTGTAGTGAGTGCCACTACATCCTACACCCACAGTCAAGTCGATTGACCTCTCGCACACGGACGGTACCATTGACGTTAAGTAGAACAGAAAGAGATACTTTATGTTTCCTTGTTTTCCTGGGAAACAGCTGATAGCAAAACTGAGATGAGATCATGAGAAAGAGAAATTATTATATTAATGAATAATTATTCAATAATTCAATTGGGGGCATTTTGAAACGACCATCTCTATAATAATAATGGAATACTCCATGTAGGTAGGACCCGGACCGCTACTACACATGAAAAAGAAAAAAAACTTGAAAACACCCCGATACAACAATGCAGCAATGAGAGTCAAAAGCTCCGGACGAAGGTCACAGACAAATCTCAAAATGCTCATGGGGCAAAGCAAAAAATCCGTCAAAACCAGCGGGCTTCTTTTTTTTTTCTTTTTTTTTTTTGTACCTCAGTTCGAGCACCCCCATGTGGTGTTGAAATGCAGACCTGAGTTCGAATACACAGATGGGATCATGGAACTAGATGAATGAATGTTGTGAATAACCTAGGGCTGGTCAGTTTGACGATGATATCTCCAGGTGGTCTACGAAGTGGTGCCGGTTTCGTGCTGACACCCGGCGAGCAGACCTCGGAGGTGCAGGGCGCGGCCAGGCCCGCAGTTGGAAAAAAAAAAAAATGGCGGCCTACGAAGTGGTGCGGGTTTCGTGCCGACACCCGCGGGCCGATATGTGGTGTACGGGTGCTTTAAAACACCAGTACTTTTCCTAAAGGCGTGCACTTTAACGAGCCATGATTTTCAGGAAACGAACAGGCCACTACAGGTCGCGCCCAAATTCATCCGACTAAAAACGTTTCTACTCTATTTTTCCTTCAGCGGCCGATAGCTGGGCCAAGTACTGGTGGTTTAAGAAAAAAAGAAAAAGAAGTGAGAAAACAGCAAGTCGATCAGGCCAGTCAAGGACGGAGTCTTCAACGACGGATCACCAACGCCGCTGTACCCGTCATCCTCCGGCTCCACACTCAAAGGAAAAAACCTCCCAATATTTCAGACAGCTCTGTGCAATGTATAATGGACAAGAACAAGAGCTCATTCTTTACTGCTCGATCAGTTGCAAGGAAGCTTTCGCATATTTTTCGCATATTATATTAAGCCCAAAGAGAGTTGTTCTGGAAAAGAAGTGATTTTTTTTTGAAAAAACACTAACCCAGTTGAGCTTCAAATTGGCCTCACCTACTCCCATCCCCTTTATTGCAGAACAACCCGTCCAACTTTCTCCAGTGAGAGTAATACGATCCCCACCAACTTCAGTTGCCCCCAAAAAAGGGTGCGATTTCGCCTGATCAGGAGAGAGGCTCGGTTTGTACCAACCGGCCTAGCTCAGTTGGTTCACCCATGAA